AAGGGCTGAGTCACTGTTCCTGCCTTGGGAAATATAACTCTGTGTGGCTATAGAGCAGAGAACTGCTCTGGGTAAATATGGGGATTTTCACTGAAGGCAGTTTCATGGACCATCAGGCTGCATAGGAGAAGAGAGTGGGTGATATAGCTCAAGGATGAACTGGTTTGGTGCCTACACAGAGGATGAGATGAGGTCACAGTGCATTTGGGTTGGGGTGCTGGGTGTCCATTGAGAATCTGTGAGCCTGGAAACACTGCTGGAGGCCTGCACAGACAGGGAAAGTTATTCATTCAATTTGAGACACACTTGAGTCTTGAGGCACCTAAGAACACACAATGAATAGGTAGAGTCATGGTTACAGAGAATCACAGCCTGGAGGCTCACACACAGGATTCCCTTCTCCAGTGTGCACTTAGGTACCACTCCAACAGGACCATGGAGAGATAAGAACAGGACCCATGTATTGAAAACATCCATGTCCCAACAAATGCAGTGTATCCAACAGTCAGTCAAGGCCCTAAGGTCACCACCTCATGTACCCCCTGATCACTTACAGGCCTCAGCTACAATCCTGAATCCTTCTTGGCTTCTGCACAGGTATCTAAAGAGCCTGGTGCTGAGTACCTCTCATACTGCCTGTGAACTGTTTCCAGAAGTGTTGGCAAAGTCCACCTCTTAAGGGAATCTAGGACACAGACATCAGGGTTTTACTTTTGCCCATTCTATGAGAGTTCCCCCAGGATTTGGTCACCAAATGTTGCCAAGGTGATGAACCCTCTACAGGGACTGCCTCGGTGTGCAATAGAAGTAGCTGACTGTGAGAGAAAGAGGTTTACAGTAGTGATCTCAGACACCTGTGCACTGAACTCAAACCAGGACAAGGCATCTAAGGATAACCCCACCTAGATGTGAGGACCCCCAAGGGGTAGCCACTGTGAAGTGCCAGATTTGCAGATCATAGCATGATTCCAGAGCCTTCTGAGAGGATGCTGAGATGTCACCCACCTGGCTGTCTCCATCTGTTTTCTGTTATTACTGAGGCCACAGAGCAGACAATAGAGAGAGGTGTGTCAGTTAGCCATATGTCACTGGGACAGCACATCTGAGATAACCCACTGAAGGAAGCAAATGTTTGGTTTGAATCACAGTTTCAGAGACTTCAGGCCGGAGTCTGCTGGCTTTCTTCAGCTTCTTTCCAGGCCTGAGGCAAGGAAATCTTAGTGCATGTAAAGACACTTTCAAGAGGATGAGGGATGGGGATATGGCCAGGTGGGTAGTGTTCCCACCTCACATACACACAATAAGGGCCAGATTTTTATGCTCTGAAACAAAAGTAAAAAAGCCAAAGATCACATGAACTTGTGATCACAGCTCTGAGGTGGTGGAGACAGGTCGATCCCTGGGGCTCCCAAGGGAGCCAACCTAGGCAATTCAGTGTCTTCCAGGTCTACAAAGAGACCCTGTCCTGAGCTTTTCTCCAATGACTGATGGAAGCAGATGCAGAGATCCATAGCCAGGCACCAGGCAGAGCTCCTGGTGTCCACTTGAGGAGAGAAAATAGGGATTCTATGAGCAAGTGCATCAAGAACATGATGAGGAAACCTGCAGAGATGACCAAACCATACTAGTGGGAACTCATAAAATTTGTATCAACAGATGTGGAGCCTGCATGGTACTGGGCTGGGCCCTCTGCATGGAGGACAGTTGTATAGCTTGATCTGCTTGGGGAGTCCCCTGGCGGTAGGATTAGAATCTATACCTGGTGCATGAGCATGCTTTTTAGAGGCCACTCCCTGTGATGGGACACCTCACACAGACTGGAGAAAGGTGGAGGGGCTTAGAATTGCCTCTACTGGATGTGCCTCCCCATAGGAGGCCTTGCCTTCTTGTGGGGGAGCGTGGGGGACAGTTTGGGACAGGGAATCTGGTGGGGGGGGAGGATCATTGATTGGTGTGTAAAATGAAAGGAAAAATTGTTTTAATAAAAAGGGGGAGAGAGAGAGAGAGAGAGAGAGAGAGAGAGAGAGAGAGAGAGAGAGAGAGAGAGAGTCCCCGTCCTAAAACCGAGGTGAATGAAGAATGGCAGTTGAGGTTGACCTCTGACCTTCATATAGACGGGAACATTGATGCACACATACACATTCACAAACATAGAGAACTACATAGAGTACATGTTCAAGGAGAAAGAGATTAGAGCTGGGGAGCTAGCTTAGTGGTCAAATGCTGGTGTAGATTATATATGTGAAGTTTAAGGTCTCCAGTACTGTGAGTGTGAGGAGACAACCCCCAGGATGGTAGAAAATGTCTGCAACTCGGCATCTGTACCTAGAATTCTGGTGAACAGAAACAGCTGGATAACAAAGCCATCCTTCACACCACCAGGAAGGCTGTATGGTTCTTCAGCTGTTATATCAGTGTGTTGTCACAGCCAGGCTGGGTATGGGTGAGCAGGGACCAAAGCTGTGGTGATGCAGAGGATGGACACCAACTGGCTAGTCTGGATCACACTCCTGGCTTGGCTCAGCATTAACTGGTGTCTGTCCCTGGGATCCTGCACAGTAGGCAGTCAAAACCTGGGCCCACCTCAGCAGGTGCTGTGAGGATGCAACAGGGTCTTAGGCACGAAGGATAGAGCAGCGGTGGTGACCCTTGTGGTCTCTGTGAGGAGAGAAAGAGAAGAGCAGGAAGAGGGGCTTCTGCCTAGGGAAGAATCCACAGTGAGACACTGATGGGGTGTTGAAATGATCGACATGAGGTAGTTATTGACAAAACACTATTAATCCAATAGGACAACTATTATCTGCAGCCCTACCTGGTGGCAAGTACAGCTTGAGCCCTGTCTTTTTATCTCTGATTCTGCCCAGTTTCACACTGACCATTAAACAATTAGAGAAACAGATAGCCACAATGGCAATCCAGTGGGCTTGCCTCCTGGAGCTTCTAATGCACATTACCAGGAATCATCCCATGTGTAAATTTCCAAACTGAGCACACAGCACAACTTGTCTGGGCCAGCATTTCCTAAGAAGAGGGAGGAGTCCCTGGTGGGGATAAATAGGCATCAGTGTGCTTGGGGAGAACAACATGCCAGGCAGCAGCCACCCGAACATCAGAACTCAGCTGTTACAGACACTGGCAGCGGGCTTCAGCTCTGCAGGTAATGCCCAGGATTCTTTCTCTCTGGGGACAGGAAAGGTTCCTTTACAGGACAGTGTGGTACTGGTAATGACCTGAGTCTTGGTTTGGAAGGGCAAGAAGTTGTTTCTGGGACACTGATTTGAAATAAGGGGACATATCTGGGGTGCATATGAATCTTCTCTCCAGTCTGGGTCTTCATGTGTATGAAGATGCAGGTGCCATGGGCTATGCTCCTGGAGAGGGAACAGAGCCTGCTGCTTCTGACCCTCCACGGGGAGGAAGTATTGAGACCTTGACTATGCCAGGTGCAGCTGTAGAAACCAGAGGGGGACATGACAGTTACAGAGTCCCTATGGGGAAGAGACATCACTGTCATGCTTAGAGAGACAGATGTCTTAGGGTCAGGGACCCCACTTCCAAAACAGATCCCATGGCCAAGAAAAGGGAACACACCCTCTCCTAATAAGGAAAAGAAGGTTACAGCTCAGCCACTGACCCAGGTCTCCTCCACAAACAGACTAGCCTGTTTTCTGTGGAAATAATTTAGATGTAAATTATGCTTGAATGTTTTCCGAAGAAATGGTTGCATCAGTCTGATGGTAAACACAGGGTAAAGGCATCCAAAGTCCCTGGCCCCTCTGCAAGTAGGGACCTGCATAGCCCTGGGCACACGTGGTTCAGCTCCAACACCTCCCTCCCCTGCTCCCTCCATTCTACTCTACTCTTCTAGTCTTCCCTCCCCTCCATCTTCCTCTCCCTCCCCCATCTGATCCTCATCTATTCTCCTGTCCTCCCTCCTCTTCCCCCCACTTTCTCACTCCAGCCTCTTTTCCCACCTGGTCCTCTCTCCTCTGTTCTTACACCTCACCTTCCTATTCCTCTAGCATCTAAGTTCTCCTCTAAACTCATCTACAGTGTGAACAAGGCTAAGGAGAGTGGCAGTGTTTACCATATCATAAGCCGTCAATTGTAGTTTTCAGGATGTTTGTGCCCCAGTCCAGGGATGTAAGAAGGAGATGGCCCTCTGTACACTCCGCACCAATACCCACAAAGCTCCTAATAAGCTATACACTTTTACTAAAAGTGTACTCTGGGTCACTTAACAAGCTGTCCAGAGAGGTCCACCATTCGCTTGCTACCACCACACAGTCATCCTGACAGCCAAAATGGAAAATGGTCCAGGTGTCAGAGACTCAGACATCATTCAATTTCCTTCCCACCAGGAGGTCTTCCAAGCTGAGATACAAACCTCCCCTATTGGTCCTTCTAATACCTGTGATCAGGGGTCCCAAGGCTTTGGCAATGCGCCAGAGCCAACCACAATTAACCCTTCACATTCCCAGAAACAGACAGTAGGTTCAGCCCATGGCTGTGGGATTTCTTAGACATGTCTGCAGGAGGTTGGGGTAGATGCTGTAATAAATAACTGGTCTAAGGTTCTTTCCCTAAGCCAGGACTAGAGGTTGATGATGGAGTAGAGGACACAAATGCAAAATAAGAGGTCCCCTGCTTTCTAATGAGTCCTTATGCCAATCCAGAAGAGGAGAGGAGACATTCAGATTACACCAGGCTTAAGCCCATCATCAGGTTCTTCTCTTCCTTACCCTGTGACCCTGGCAAATCTCTTCATCCCTCTGGGTTTTGATTGTCTAATAGGAATACTGGTTACTGCAACAGCACTTCTCCCTGGAGTAAAGGGAGCAGAGGCTGTGGCACTCCCATCTGAGTGGTCAGAGCACCTCCCATGCACAGTTACAGAGGCAGCAGAGCAGGGACACAGTGCTGGCCACATGGGAGGACAAGTAGATGGTCAGGGAACCATGTTACCCTCCCTGACAAAAGGATCTTTTCTTTTCAACCAGGAGAACAGAGTAATGGCTGAGATCTCCCCTGATGTCCTCTGCCAACCAGATGATATTTTGGGAAGGGACACTGCTGTCCAGGGAAATCTGAACAACAGGACACCAGTGGACAATCTAGCACTGACCTCCACCAACACTGACTTTGCCTTCAGGCTCTACAAGGAACTGGCTTTGAAGAATCCAGATAGAAATGTCGTCTTCTCTCCATTCAGCATCTCAACAGCCTTGGCGGTCCTGTCACTGGGAGCAAGCAGCAACACCCTGAAAGAGATTCTAGGAGGTCTCAAGTTCAATCTCACAGAGACCCCTGAGGCAGACATCCACCAGGGCTTTGGGCATCTACTCCACATGCTCAGCCAGCCAGGGGACCAGGTGCAGATCAGAACAGGTAGTGCCATGTTTATTGAAAAGCACCTACAGATCCTAGCAGAGTTCAAGGAGAAGGCAAAGGCACTGTACCAGGCTGAGGCCTCCGTGATTGACTTCCAGCAGCCTCAGAAAGCAAAAAAGCTCATCAATGACTATGTGAACAAACAGACCCAGGGGAAGATCATGGAACTGATCTCAGACCTGGATGAGAGTACAGTAATGGTGCTGGTGAATTACATCTACTTTAAAGGTGAGAATGATTGCTTTTTCAGGGGTGGAAGGAGAGGGTGTTAGCTGGGTACCATGTGTCCATACACTGACCACTGGAAAAGAGGTGCTCATGAACTTAGAGACATGGGTGCCTAACTTCTTATTATTAACAGGCATTACTTCTCCGTGGTATTCTGGATGATGGTTGAGGTTCCTGGTGCTTACTAAATAGAACCTCTGAGCCTTCAGCCTATGTGGGCTCAATTGGACTGTGACTTAAACTTAGTGACTAGGAGAACGCATAGCTTTCTTGTCCAGTCCTCCGTGAGTCGGGAGAAGCCAGGGATGCTCCTGTAGAGACTGAGGCCCATTCCGCCCACTCCAGCATTTCTAATCTGCTCCTGTAGAAGGTGCCCATCCCTACTGGAAAGCCTCTATCTCTATGAGGGTTCAGGTGGGCTGGAATCTTTTTACCTAAGGGGCCTGGCTACCCAATCTACATAAGGAGAATGTAGCATGTGCAATAGCTAGTGCAGAGCCCTTCATGAATTTCTATGCTGGACCTCTCCCCTGAATCTTTCTGCATCAAGCTAGACCTGGGCATGAAAAAGCAGGGACTGGGGAAAAGACATTAGTTTGAAAAAAGATCAGCCGTGCAATGTTCTACATTCAGTGTCTGGCTGCTTTTTGGAATTTTGCTTTTGTAAAACTACTTGCCTGGCAGCCTGGGTGGTCACAGTGCACAATATTCACTCCTGAGCCAGGGAACCTGGAGATAGGGAGCTAGTGATTTGAGAAACTGGGCTGGAATTGCATTTGGTAAGGATTTTGGGGTGGACATCCAGAGCCTACACTCCAAAACCCTGCCTGATAGAGACCAGGGATTGAGCCCATAAAACAATTCCTGATGAAAATCCTGATGTGACCTGATCTGGGGTGGACTTGAGGCTGGACACAGGATAGTCTAGGGCAGAGAAGGACAGATTCTGAGACTATAGACAGAAAACCAATTTGCCATGGACAGAAGAGGATAGAAGGACAGAGGACATCTGTTCAGGATGGAGCCAGAGCTGCTTTTCTCTGAAGAGAAGGGAAGCAGAGTAAAGGGCTGAAGTGTTACTGCAGGGCGAGGCTCTCTTGCTGGACCCAGACCCCAAGCTCCAGGGCTGCTTGGCTGTGAGTATGAGTTGTATGTTTATGCAGCTGCATCCTGAGCCCAAGAAACTGTCAAAGTACCAAGTCCCCCAGGGTGTATTGTAGATGGTCACATGCACGTGGGATGTGCACTAGGCCTTGCCAGGATATTTGTGATTAATGGAAGGGAACATGGCCAATGTGGGAGAAGAGGACTCATAATTGTCTTAGTCAACCAACTATGGGATCCTGGTAATCCAAATCTAGAGGTTGCAAGTCCCCAGAACTTGAGTCTAAGCTCACCCACACTTGGCTCTGGGCTCAACCTTCCATTAGTTGGTTCACACTGAGGAGCACTATCAACAGATCACTGCCTGGAGGTTCAGTTTCTCGTGTTCCCTTGAAATCTGTCCCCCAAGCAACTGCCTTCTAGACAGGCTTCCTCCTGAGGAAGAAGGGACCCCAAATATCCTCAGGCTCCATTCTCTCCACTTTCACTCACATTTCTCTGTAATATACCCCACCTCAGATTCTAGATTGTTTTTCAAGTACCTTAAGTAGCTAAGCTTTGGATTTGAGTTCCTCTTTCTAAACCAAGCCTGTGGATCACTTCTCATTCATAGTTCTGCATATATCAAGGTTTTTCCAATCCAGACTATGCAGCCACCAAGGGATACTACACTCTGTGTTGTTGAAAATGGATTGATTGCTCTTTTGACTCAGAAACTATGCAGAAATGAGGAGGAGGTGGTGTCTCTCCTGTGCTGTTACATTCTGATGGCCTGCTCCACATTTAGGGAAATGGAACAGACCATTTGATCCTCATGACACATTAGAGTCTGAGTTCCATTTGGACAAGAAGAGATCTGTGAGGGTGCCCATGATGAAAATTGAGGATCTGACCACACCCTACTTCTGGGATGAGGATCTGTCCTGTTCTGTGGTGGAGCTGAAGTACACAGGCAATGCCAGTGCCCTGTTCATCCTCCCTGACATGGGCAAAATGCAGCAGTTGGAAGCCAGCTTACAACCAGAGACTCTGAAGAAATGGAAGGACTCTCTGAGACCCAGGTGGGTGTCCACAGTACCCAGAGCTGGTCTGGCTCCCCATCCTGCTGTTAGACCAGTGTCCCTGTCCCTCAGAGTGTCAGGGTCACCCAGTGTAACGGTTGGAGAGTCAGCAGGGACAGGTGGATTCGAGGTGAGTTTCCCTTTCTTGACTCGGTAGTTTTTAGACAGATTTTATTGTCATTTTTTTGTTCACAAGATGACAGCAGCAAGAGCAGATGTTGAGGATTCCTCTGTGTCTAACAGGCTGTAATTACAGGGAATCTTGAATGGGTTTTGGAAGGCAGAGGGGAGTGAGGCTAAGATGAGACCAGCTCTGAGAATCAGCTCTGCCCTGTGTAGCCATCTCATGCCCTCATCACTCATTCACTTACCATTCATGGAATAATAACTGTGCTCAAATTTAGACCCTGAGAGGGTATCAGAAACTCAAGCATATAATTTCTTATAAACACAGGCTCACCTTGAAATTGAAGAGGAGAGAGTAGGTGGTTGAAAATACAATTAATCATTATTTGAAGAGTTAAAAAAAAACAAGTAGATGTTAAAAGGGGGAATGTCCGCGGGGAAGGAAAGCTGGAGTTGGAAGAAGTGTGCAGTTCCAAATAGAATGATCATTAGATGAAGTCTGAGGATTCACATGTCAGGGGAAGAAATGTATTGAGTGGGAGAAAAGCATTCTTGGTAAGGGAAACAACAGCGAGTTCCAAGCCTCATCGCCTGCCCCTGAATAAACTCTCAGGCATTGAGGTTAGTTGATGCATTAGGAAAAGCAAAATCAAATGGTGTGGGATGGACAGAAAGAGGGCTTCCCTCTTGTGTTAGGGCTGTCTGTGGAGAGGTGCCCTAGCAAAAAGGTAGGTTGATGTGGCAATGGAGCCCAGGGACTCTTACATTTCTCTTTACATCCTCAGGATGATTGATGAGCTCTACATGCCCAAGTTCTCCATCTCCACTGACTACAGCCTGGAGAACATCCTTCCATCACTGGGCATCAGGGAAGTCTTCTCCAAACAGGCTGACCTGTCTAGGATTACAGGAGCCAAGGACCTAAGAGTCTCTCAGGTAGGTCAAGAAACACTGGGTGGTTCTCACTGGGTGCTAGAATATGTATGCTGAAAGCTAGGTGGCAAGGGGGGGGTGGTAAATGTGTGAGAAAGCCCTCATTTCTGAGATTCCCTCATCCTGGTAGGGATGGATTACAGCCTAGACACCCCTGCTGGAGACCATTACACCAATCCCTCCTCTACTCCAGAAGCCCAGAGTGGAAAAACCTGTGCTTGGTCTTAGACCACCATAGTCACTGACCTGTGCTGCAGTGCAGATACCACCCACAATCCACTGCAGGCAAAGCATTCCAGCCTCAGCTTCTTCACTGCAGAGCTGACCCAGTACTTCCTGATGAGCACACAGACAGTCACAGTAATGAAATAACAAGGGATGAATGGCAGTTGTGATGAAAAGCTAAGAGTAGGGGAGAAGATGCCTTAGGACCCCACACTACAGTCCCATATGCACAGATTGGCAAAGACTTTTTTGTCCATCAGTGCCCACTCTGACTCCTGGTGCAAGTCTCTACAAATAGGACATGACGGTTTGATAAAGAGAAACCACACTCTGTGCATTGAGGTTGTATTTTCCAAGGAGGCTGGAACAGGAGCGATGCCAGAACCTGTACTGGCTGCCAGCACATTGGCTGTTCACTGTGGTTCTCCTTAGAAGCTGCCTGTGGAGGAAGGACGAGCATTGCCTACACCCATCCTTCTGTTTGTAGTTGGTTTGAGAGCAACACAGATTCTCAGAGACTGAGCAGACCCAGGACATGTCTCATCTCATACCCTGAGCAGAGACTTGGAAACACCAGGGGTAGAGCTCACTATAGGAACAAACAGCTTAACCAGATACTGAGGCCAGCAGTGGATGCTTGCTCCGGGAATCTCCTCTCCTGCCCTCCCTGATCTCCAGTGAGTGATGTCTTTCTCTTACAGGTGGTCCACAAAGCTGTACTGGATATGGCTGAGACAGGCACAGAAGCAGCTGCTGCCACAGGATTCAAAATGATCCCTTGTTGTGCAAAATTTATATCAATGACAGTCTGTTTCAACAGGCCATTCCTGATGTTTATCTCTGAAACAGATACTCAGATGACCCTCTTTCTGGCCAAAATATCCAACCCTAAATGAAGCTAGAGCTTCCCAAGTGGAGAGGCTTCTGTCCAGGAGGGAGCCTGCATGTGGGTGTGTACATTCTGCACTCCATGTTCTGACCGGCTTTGTATACCTGGCTTGAACAGTGACCTTGTCTAACTCCATGACTCCTACATACACAGGAGCCTTGGACTGTGAGTAACAGGCTCTCAAGCCTCTTGGAAGCACTTGCTCATGTTTCTGACCCTGGAATCTATCTTTATGCCCTCTCCGTTCTCACTCACATGTATTTCCCTGTACCCCCATTGTGGGCACTATGAGGTAGGCTCAGTCCCAGTATTGTCTCTAGGCATGTAGGCCTTCAGCTTCCTTGGCCTTGATGGGATCATGCAAGCTTGTAGGTCAATCCATGTAGACCAGGACCAGGACTGAGAAGGGAGATTGTTGAACTGAATCTCACTCCTGCATCTGGTAACTCCTGGTGACAAGTTCTTGCCTTGTGCTTTCCCTCTCCAGTCCCTAGGCTCTGCCACCCACCGCCCTTTGCAGCAGATGCTGGCCAGGCACATACATGGCCCACTGTTGGAGCCTTCACTCATGTTGAGGGGCCGATTGATCAGACCAGCTCCTTTCCCCCAGCACTCCTACTTAGGGCACAGTACCCATTTCCTAGGTTGGCAAATGACGAATCTGAAATGATTGATAGACAACTCCAACTTCATCACACAATAGCATGGTTTGGAGCAAAGGATCAATAAATGTATAATTCACTAAGCTCCTATTTGCAGGGGTGTGCCCTCTAGTGACCACAGGGTAGTAGAAAATTGTCACTCATGCTCTGTGACTCCTGTGATGTACCTCTGACCTACATGTTATTATCAATCCTTTTTATGGATCAGGAAACTGAGACACAGAGAGTCTTAGTCATTTCCCATTAACTCACAGTTAGACATTATGACTTGCTGGATGTTCTTCAAGTGTCCCTATACCAGAGGAACATTTTTCACCAAGTGGGGATCTGTGCACAGGCATCACCATGGTGGTGTGCGGGTGGATCATAAAACAAGGCTCTAGATACTTCACAGAGAGCTCCCAAAAGCACGTATGGATCATGTGACCTCTGTGTTGAGGTCGGAGGAGGATGAGAAGGTCATCTCATGACCAGAAAGAATGTCTTGGGCAGGGTTCCCAGTAATGGAGGCATTTCTAAGAATCTGAGAGGAAGTGAGTATTTCGGACAACACAAAAGAAGGATGGTGGAGAGGAAGAAGTAATTAGAGACAATAGATGGCAAAGAGCCTTGCTCTGGGAAGATTCTGAAATTCCTCAGAGCCGCAGTAAGCATAGAAGTGGTTAATTGGTGTTTGCTGTCTTAGGCAAGTTATTTGTGTGGTTAGAATGCAGAGAACTGAGTTATTCAGAGGTCAGGTTGTTATTGAGGGCATTTTATGGAACAGCTGGAGAGGAGAGTTGATGATCCAGATCAATAGATGAGTTTCCTTAGTGTGTAGATGCAGAAGGAGAAGAGGAGGCCTACATTGGGTTGAGGCACCTGGTAATCATTGAGAATCCTCTGAGCCCGGAAACACAGCCAGCAGCCTGCACGGAGAGGGAAAGTTGAACATTCAGTAGGAGACTTACTTGTGTCTTAAAGATCCTAAGGAAACTCTTGACAGGTGGCTATGAGGTCAGCAGAGATGTGCAGCCTGGTGGGGCTCTCAAAGAACCCCCTTCCCCAATGAACACCGAGATACCATTCCCTGAAGGATGTGAAGTGAGAGAGACAAGGGACCCATCTATTGAAAGCAAGCAAATGTCCCAATCATGTTTCCAACATATAGCAGGACAGGATCTGAGGCAGGGGTACCTAGCAGTACTCCATGGTATACATGCCCCAGCTGTATACCACCATTTTTCCTGGATTCAGTGCAGGTATATAAGGAGCCTAGTGCTGAATGCATCTCAAGCTGACAAGACCTGTCAGTCTGGAACTTGTGGCCAAAGTCTGAGTCCACCTGCCATGGGAGTCTAGGACCTAGATATCAGGGTTCACTTTTCCTCATTCCCTGCGGGCTGAGGACTCTCTCACTTCTTAGCCATCAAATGTTGCCTTGATGATGAACTCCCTACAGGGACAGGCCCAGATTTCAATGGAGGTAATGGAATATGGAGGGGGAAGGGAGGGGCCTGTAAACTGCAGTTTACTAAGGTTGAAGGCCTGGGAACTCCATGCTTAGCTCAGGGGTTTCTACATGTTGAACAATCACCTTATAGAAATAGAAATGTAAAAACAATAAGTGGCTATATGGTGGGGTGGGGTTGCGTGGTAATCTAAAAAACACAATGTACAACATGCTTCCTTCCGTGCTTCTGCAACATGACCCCTCATGTCTAATAATAGTCTGACATTCTGTAGGCTGTTGTTTTTGTCTTTTTGACTGTGTGTCCTTTGCCCTACCAAAACTTCTCAGTTTCAAGAAGTCCCACTTATTAATTCTTGCTCTCAGTGTCAGTGCTACTGGTGTTATTTTTAGGAAGTGGTCTTTTGTGCCAATTCATTCAAGATTACTTCCTACTTTCTCTTTTATGATGTTCAATGTAACTGGATC